AATTACAGCGTTTTGCCATTAAATAGGAAGCTTTGTGTAAACTAATTACTAGGTAATCATTGTCTACCGAGAGCCGTGCTGTTTGGTACCTTTTATTTTATTTGGAGAAAATTCACAGATCTCGCAGTCTGGAACCACTATACCTTCCAGCCATTAGCTCTCACTAATTCATAGCATTATTGTGTTAAGATTGTAGGAGTTGTAATTGTTGTGGTATCAGTGCTGTTAATTACCGGAGTAAACAGTTGAAATTGTGCCAAGGTCTATTGTACAAAGCAGAGAAAAGGGGGTTTAAATGTTACCATCTGGGGATGAAGTCTTTGCAAATGGTACAAAGCAGCAGTGAGGCCCCTCAGAGCTTCAGGGTTTGAGGCCATATGGATCCAGAATATTTGGAATCAATTGAATTTCAGTGCCAGTTTTTACCAATAACAGTGCACAGACGAGAAGGATAAAATAAGATCAAGAAAGAAAAGCAGGAATTTGTTAGTCGTGTGCCTGCCATAAAATGTGTAGATTATATTTAAATGTTTATTTTGCTGAATTTGAAGAAGCAGAGAGAGGATAAACGCAAATGTGCAAATTCAACCATGAGATGATTTTTTAAAAAAGGCCTTGTATTGGTTAATATGGGGTTGCAAAATGAATTTCTGCAGTCCTTGGATGGATGGATGGATGGATGGATGGATGGATGGATGGACGGACGGATTGTGGTTGTGTTCTGGCATTTGTAGAATGCCAGTATAAAAGAAAAACATGGCCTGTAGCCATGGGGAAGAAATAACGAATGAGAGTCCTTGGCCAATCTTCATTCTCAGAAGTCCTAAGAAGATGCTGCATTTGTTTCTAGTTCTGCTTTTTTCTTTACAGGCAAGAAAAGGGCATAAATGTTAATTTGCATGGGTCCCATCAACTTCAACAAGGTGTCTTACATGTGTCTTGGCACCAAGACTGTCTGTCTAATTCTATATGAAACATAAATCCTAAAACATCAGGATTTCTATTTCTCAGGGGGTGGGGAAGGCAGGAGGTTCTGAGTATTTTGATTTTGCATAAATGTAAGGTAAGAAACTGAAATAACAGAATACCTTTTCCTGAAACAATGCTTATTAATTAAAGAAAAATGCCTTCTGCATATTAACAAAGGACATTGTCATCAGCTCACTTTGCAACAACAAATGGCAGTAAGAATGATTTAGTAATAGTGTTGTGATCTCAGATCATCCTCCTGTGGAATATAAGCATGTGCCAACATTTTGGAAAGCTGCAAACTTTGCTTCTCTCTTCTCCTTAGCGTTTTTCTTTTTATAAAAACTCTGTTTATTTCAGAATATGGACCCCTGAAATGTCCCTCCTCCCCCCAAATCATCCCCCCACGACTCCCGCATTAGCTCACTGAATGGGCTTGGGAGCCTCGTTGGTTTATTTTTATTTGGCTGTGGATGGATCTTGAGGGGGCACGAGGCAAACGTGCTGCAGGCGGAGCGTTTGTCGGCCCCAGTGCCACCAACGGAGCCCGGAGCTGTGGGGCGAGAGACCGCGTCCTTTTCACTTCGTGCATGTGTACAAGTTCAGAATGCAGAAGAACAAACTAATTCTGAAATCCTCAGCAAGGCAGAAGAGGAGAACGGGGCCCACGCGGCGTGTGGAAGAACAGGAACATGAAGTGGTGGAGAGTTGCAAGAGTCCCCCCATCGTAATAGGCGAGGCGAATGGCCGTGCCCCGGTCTGCCACCGAAGCACGACATATGCGCCTCCCTTCAACAAAGGCCGCCCTTGGCCTGTGCGCTGATCCAGAGCGAAGGGCCGGTAATGAGAGGCAGCCCCTCCCGAAGCCGAGGGGAGATGATGCAGCCTAAGAAGAGAATTCTGCGGAGGGTCCTCGCCATTTGGTCCAACGCAAGGCGCTGTGCGGGCAAATCGCTTCCCATCCAGCTGAAATGGGCCATTAGGTATCAAGGAAAATTGTCTTTTGCTCCTTTCAGCAGATGGAGCAAATATTTTACAAAGCCATTTTACATACAAAAACCATTTGCGGGACTTGGTAATGGCAGCTGTTTTACATGATGTTACCTTCCAAAAGAATGTCTCTCATGAAAGGCAAAATCAGGACTTTTGTTAATTTTAAAATTTTCAGTTGCACACTCAAGCATTCAGCCCTAAAAGCAACATTTGAATTCTAAGTAAGTGTGGCCGGTGATTGATCGCTTCCAAAAACATTTCCCGCATTTTTGCTCTTTTGTATAGATTGCAGCTCCGGAGAGTAACAAAAAATGAATAACAAAACAAACTGTCGGAAGCCACCGGCATGGTCGGAGGGGAGGGAATTTTCCTCTCTTGTGCGTTAATCTGTTCAAAGGGCTGAAGCCTTGAGCAGTTTATAATTGGGGGAAGGTATTTAACTTTCTTCACTGTGTTCTCAGAAAGAATTTTAAACCATAGCAATCATTTAGAAATGGGATGGGGAAGAAGTCCACTTAAGATATATATCAGCATTTATACTATTGATGGAGGAGCCATTTGTTTGCAAATAATTAGACTACACTTTTACTGGTTCATTTTATTACCACAGCCTGCTCTCCTCCTCCTCTTCAGAATTGGCTTTGTGAGATTATCCCTTTATATCCCACATTGATCCTCTCAGGTGGTTGGAAAAGAACCCGGGACAGTCATGGCTGGACCCGCATCTGCCTTCCCCAAGCCCCGCTGTCTTCCTACTGTAGTTGCTACCTTCATAAACAAATGAATCACCCAGGAAGTAAGATCATGTTCACTTCTGCAAATAATTGCAAAGCGGGGCGGGGGGGATCCCTTTGAATAGTCATGGTATAAAACTGCACATTACAAGGGTCTGATTTTTTTTTGACTGGAAATAAATATATGCCCTGGGATCTAACCCAGAAAGACTAGATGGAATGGCCTTTCCTAATTCAATGAAAATAAGACCAAAGCAACTTAATGGTATGTATTGATTTGTAGGCAGAACATCTTGCTAGCGTTAATCAATGAAAAGCAAATTTCTGTGGACCCAGCAGTCCTTCCCTTCCCTCCCTACACTCCATATGGGAAATCATTAATTCTCACTAGTTCCCAAATTAGTTATACATGAAAGAAACCACAAGTCATTCATTCTTCCGTCCCTTGTCTATATAGTCCTTTTCAGCCGGTTCAGTGCTATTGCATGGCACTGCAATCTATAGCCTATTAATACATTCCTCCTAAGTGTAGTTCTGCGCGTTTTCTTTTTGCCAAAAGTAGGAAAGTCACAACCCTAAAGAAGGTTCACCATTCATGGTTGCCAGAAGCTGCTCTTAATATCAAGTGACAACAGCATAAACAGACTTCCTTCACACATAGCTTCTCACTTCTTTTTAAGAAGCATGACTTTTCCAAAGGCTTTCTGAAAATCTAGGAATACAGGACCGCCTGAGCAACAAAATAATCATAATTATTATATTAGTATGTTGCCTGACACCCAGCAAATTAGTTAATTCCCTTAAAGAGTAATAATCCCATGAGATAGAACCTCCCTCTGCAGAAACTGAGCTGATCAAGGTTTGTTGAGCTATATGCTGGCATCACTCCTGTTTTCTGCTTGTTCCCCTGGATTAAAGGCAGACTGGCATATCATCTCCTGGAGCCTTCCCGCTTGCATCTTTACAGATATTCCAAAAGATTCAGCTGTGTTCAGGGACTTTCCATCTGCGGGCAGTAGATGTCCCAAATAAGTCAAGCAAGCCACGTGCTGAAGAGGGTGCTGTTCTGTTTCCAAATAGTCCAAAAATACATTTTTGTATCTGAAATTCAGAAGCTGCCATTTGATAAACACAAAAGCAGATTTCCTTACCTGCCATCCTCAGTGGATAAAGCACATACCCCCAACACAAGCATTTAAAAATGGACGTGAGCCCATCTTTAGCAAGGGAACAAAAGGAGTCAGAGAGAGGTTTCACCCGTCCGTTCCAGTCAAGAGGAGCAAGAACTGAGTCCCAAGATTGTGGTGTGAAGGGGGCAATTAGTCCTCTTTGGAGCATGGGACATTTCTAATTTCAAGGGGTCGTGAAGCAGAAGGAAAAAGGCTCAAGGGAAAGGATGAAGTGATCATGAAGTAGTGAGAGAAGAGTGACCTGGAACATAATGTTCAGAGTTCCCAAGTTTGATGTGCTTGCTCAGCTCTCAGGCTGTGGGGCCTGATAAAAACTATGAAGTTAAGCACTGGGTTGCATTTGTTTCTGTGTGCAAATCTGTGGTGGTTTTAGGCACTTGGGAAGCATCTGACGTGTCCTGACTCTTGCTGCAGCGTCCCTTTATGTCATGCGTGCCACTGGTCCTAGTTTCACCCACATGGTCTTTGAATGAATTGAGGGCGGTTTTGATGCCAGGCCCACAGCCAAGATGATGTAGGTCAGCGGTGGCTTGTGAGGTAGGCTAACAGCCGAGGAGATGGCATCAGAACCAAACCAAGTGCTGAGGTCGAAGGACGTCTCCCCTCTCCTAATTATCTTCCGATGTGTTGGCCTGGGGAGGTAGGAGAGTAAGGGGGTGCACATAAAAACTATATGGAGTGCGGCAGATTGGGGGAGACTCGACCATGCCTGGTTGGTCAGCAAATGGAGGTCTACGTGTGAGCCCACAGGATAGAGTGGGGGAAAGCTTTTCAGTAAAGAGATAATTAATATCTTTTAAAGGGGAATAAATAGAGTTACTGTTGCCTCAATAGACAAATATCCATGGTTTTAATCTCTTAATTTCCTGTTTTTGTTGTTGTTCAGTACATGGTAGGTTTCTTTCTTTTTTAAAGAAGAGATTGCTGGGGGGGGAAAACCCCAAAGTTCACAGATACATGAAAGAAGATATGGGAAACATTTAAAAAAGACTTTCTGGCTGTGGTTAAACAGTAACCACACTGCCTGTTGGAGGCCTGGTTTTTAATCACCCCACAAGCCGTTTTCATTTCTGCAGTAAAATTGCTTGTGGTTCTATTTAATTTGTTTCTGCAGGAACCAGCTTTGGTGAAGCTCTCTCAGGAGCTACCGGGCCTTTTAGCACAGCACGCGCAGGCTGTCAATGAGAAACGATTTCCTACATGGGGGAAATTCCTCCAAATGTTTGTGAGTCAAGGTAAATAAGACTGCTAAATTCCTGCTAAGTGCTATAAGGGATAATTATATCGCCAGTACTTTGTTCTCATTCATTGGGATATTTCTCCACCTCCACCCCTGTTTCCTTCCCCCATTACAGTTTTTATCTTTTTAAGAATGAAATACAGGCAGCCATCTTTGATCTTGCCAATTTTGGACAGGATGCACCCCTGGGATGGAAGGAAGTGTGTGTTTATTCATGTAAATGATTTTGAGACCCCCCCTCCCTCCCTCCACTAAAGTTATCCCCATAGTTAAATCTCTCTCCCACTTTGGGCTGCAAACCAGGCTACCTCAATGGCAAAACTGTTTGGAGAGAAGCTTCAGGAGGAAAGAGGCTGTCCCTGGGTTTCTGATAATATCAGTGGTCCCAGGGGAAGCCATCCCCATTGTGGTGCTGTGAAAATGCCCACATGGACATACGCAGCATAGAGGAGCAATCGTGCAAATTGATGAAAGTTCCCTTTGTTTTTCATTTTTCTTTCTTTACTCACAAACTTTGGCTAGTCGGAATTGGACAGAAACAGGAGTGATGAAGAGCATGGGATCCTCATCCTCCATCAGTTCTGTTCATCCCCTTCTCCTCTGGCCTCTGGAGACCACACAAGATGTTTTCAAGCATAGTTTTGCAGTCATAATGTTTAAGAATTAGACGCTCCATGTATCGAGCACCTTATATACAGCAAAGGACTCTTCCCTCCCTGGAGGTTGCAGGTGGTGAATGGGTTTGTTCCAGGATATCTTCCTGATTATCTCAATCTGATCGTTGTTCTTATATACAGAAAATTAGAGCCCTCCCACAAAGGGTGTGTAACAGTAAAGATGACTTTCAGATTGTGTCAGAAGGGAGCCAATTACTTTCCTTATAACCCAGGGAGGGGAATTTCATGCCTGCAGGACTCGTGTTGTTAATACTGAGTGTCCCCCACCTACCACCATTGGATGCTGTCTCCTCACTTTGCTCCTTCCCTGTCCTTCTGCTCTGAAAGGGGAAGAGAGAATATGGGCAGATATCATCCTTCAGGGTGCTTTTCTCCATGCAGGGGGAAATAAGAACCTCTTCTATTTTCCTACATCAAGAAATGAATTTATTTACTTACATTTTAGATTTCTGAGGCCACCCACTCAACAGTGGCATCAGGCAAGAGGAAGAAAATTCCTCTTTATAATTCACACCCCCAATGTCACTTAGCCTACTGTTGTACAGCCCACACCCAGTTCCCCCCCTACTATAACCACAGCCACCAAAGAAACGGAAACTTACAAGCCCAGGCAAAGTCACAGTCAGTGTGTCCTTTTAACCAGGAGCAGCTTCTACAGTAGTGATGGAATTGAACTTACTTACTTTGGGAAACTCTCCTTGAGATAAGGCTGTAACAGTTGTTTTAAAAATAGACTTTTTGTGCTTTTTGTAGATGGTACATTTGTGGAGCGAATGAGCAGGCTGTTCTTGGCTTGACGGAGATCTTGTTTCTCTGACTAGGTGGAATCATAGAGGCCTTCCCGCCTTCAGATAGCATCACCAACCTCACAGTGGACATGGTAATTGAACCCACAGGGGAGGTCACGATGGTTTCCTGCGGAGACCAGTTTCACGCGGACAGTCCCTTGCGGTCTTCGGGAACTACCCTTCCTCAGGCTTCGGTTGAACCCCAGCTCCTTAACTTGCTGTGTTTTAAAATTGGAGAGGCCTGCAAATCCAGGGGAGTGGTTGGATACTTCTCCATTGACTTTGTGACTTTCATCCACCCTCAGACCATGAGACAGCAGGTGAGCCATAAAGGTGAAGCTTCAGTTCCTTTGGCACTCTTGCAAGCACTGCAGAATCACTGATTTCCTGGGGTTGGGGGAGCAAAGCACTTTCTTTCATTAGTACCCTAATTAACACAGGTCCTCAGAAATATGTAGCGTTGAAAATACAGAAGAAATGCTCATCCATTTTAGCCTAACGGTTCAGGAAGTATTATACTTAGTTTAAATTTCTCCAGGGGTGAATGCAAAAGCTACGTTTGTCATTTAAGAATCAGTTTTCCATTCCTTAGCATTAGGAGGAGAGTATTAAAAACGGATTGGTAGATTCCTGGTGAAGTATTTGTGTTTTAAACCAGCAGAATAAATCGACCCAAGGGAATGACCAAGTTTACATGTCAATCTATCCTGGAATCCCCTCTGTGTCTAGCCAAGTTATTACACATCTTTGAAAACAGAAAACATTTGGAAATAAGAGGAAGCAAGATTTGTTTTGATTTGGGGGCAGATCCTCCCATTTTACTCTGGCAGAGGTTCAGTTATGTAACATTTAACTCCATGCTGGCAATGACCCCAGCAAAATAGCAGCTTGGTCGCTTTCTCTCCTCTGTGCCACATCCTCCCCTGAACAGAGGGAATGGCTGCAGAGCAAAGATTTCACCCTTTTGTCTTCAGTGCATAAATCTTTCTCCGTTCTTTCCTCGTTCGCATCGGGTCCTTTTGGCTTTTCTCTTCCACCCAGTTGTTCTACCTTGCAATTTCCTACATTTCTCAGCTTGTACCACAACTTTAGCATTACTTAAGCCGAGTTTTTTTTCCCCAACTTAATTAGATATAGAGGCAATTAATGATGCCATCTGTCTTGTTGTGTGTGAGAGAGATTACACCAAAGATTGTGCTTCTGAAAGCATTATTTTTTTGGCAAACTAGAAATCCTATTAGACTTGTTCAAACACTCTTACACTAATTTCCCAGCTCCCATTTTAGATCACTAGCTCAAAGGCTCAAATAAATTCTCCAGAACTACTGTACACTTAGGCATCCTTCTGGAATTATCTTTTACAGAAAATAACCAATGATCGATGTCGTTTTGCTAAACCTAAAAATTAAATATATCATTGAACATCTGTTACCAGTACAGTGAAAGAGTAGTTAAATCTCTTAAAATCCCAGAGACTGTCATACTGGTATGAATCTTTTCATAAACCCAGATGTTTCTGCGACCCAAAATGGGCCAGACTTTTGCTGGTAGCTCATAGATCTGAGATATACTCCTTCAGTTTTGGGGTGGATGAAACATGGCCTGCTAGTTTAGGAGTTGCCATTATTTTGGGTGCCACCAGTGAAACAATTCAGAGCTAACTTCAGAGTTCAAGGAAACTCCCTTTCCTGTCCCTCTCCAGAAACCATCGATCACCCACGTGGGGCTAGGATTTCAGAGGAAGAACTTATGCTGCAATCTCAGTGACTCCTGCCCACAAGCCCAGCCACATGTCATGTTTCCTTCACTTCAGTTTTGCTCTTCAACTTTCAGTGGAATAACACTGAATTGTCAATTGCTAGGACAGGGCTGTGCGGGAAGAACTTCCTTTACTCTCTTGGCAAGTCTCCATAACTCTTGAGGTCCCCGTGGCTGTCCTCTCTTGCAGTACTCAGGAGCCAGTCAAGAAAGAGCTATATGGAAATTGTCTGATCAACTGGTAAAAGAGATCTTGGACTTTATGTTTCAGATTATACAAAGAAAGTTTGTATAATATCCTGAGTTAGCTCTGATTTGTATACCGTCGGTATTGTAGGCATGGTTCTGAAAGAGAAAAAATGGAACAGAATGAAATGGACCAAAATTACCTGCTAGAAATAATAGATCAATTGTACATGCTTTCAAAAATTGTGAACAGCAACTCAACTCATATTCAGTAAACGAGCCATAATGCTGTTTACTACAATTATGGCCTTGTTATCACGTTGCTTTGAGTAACATGGTCATTTCTGTCTCCCTAGATATTTCAACACAATACATTTAGTTTCACCTCCAAGGGAACATGTAGACTTCATGAACTGACCTTCATCTCAGTAACAGAGCTGGTGGTCAGTGAGGATCAGGACTTAAGTGGTCAGGTTCCTGATCTGGAGAACTGCTGGTTGACAATATAATGGGGCCAAAGAGAAACTGCACAATTCAGGGCAGGAACAAGTCAGTTTTTAGAAACCACAGCCAAACCTCAGAACAATCAGAAGCAGTTGGCCTAGTAACTTTATCGTTATGGTCCACAACCAGAGTCAGCATGGTGTTGTGGTTAAGGTGTTGGTCTACAATTTGAGGAGACCCCAGTTGAAGTCCATGCTCAGCCATGGAAATTCCATGGTGACTTTGGCCCAGATACTCTTTCTCGTCCCAGGATGTCTTGAGGATAAAAATGAGGAGTGATGTAAGTCACCTTGAACTCGTGGAAGAAAGATATATGCCCAATTACCTGATTAACTGTGGAGAGGCAGAATATGAAGTTTCAGTGGTCACTACCAGGCAAAACTCAGAAGGAACAGAAGTGATGTCCAAGGGATGTGATAGTAGTAACAATGAAGATTTCTATCCTGGTTTGGAGTCTCCAGAGAGCACCCTTGCTTCCTCAGACAGGAGATTCTGGGTCAGTGGAATGCCCAAGGAAGCTTCTGAAGACAATTCATTCCCCCACATTAATATTTCCTCCGACTCCAAAGCCTATTTGTGACTTCTGCTGGCTTAATTCCTGGTCAAATGACAGGACTAGGACTGCAAGATAGAGGACAGCACTGCAGGGGCACAGCCTGTGATGCAACCAAATAGTGATGTTAAAGTAGGAAAATCATTAGTACCAGCTCCCTACACCTAATTTAAGCTCATAACCTTACATCATTCAGAGATTGCACTGACCTTGATTATTACTGCAAGTGATGCTGAAGCATCTTAATGATTCCTCCTTCCATATCAAGAAATTATTCTTTTGTTAAGAACAAAGCCATGTGCCTTTCTGATTAGCTATAAACTAACTTTTTTCTTCCTGAAGACCATCAATGAAGCATCATTTACTGATGGATTATATTCTAGATATACATTAAACATTGATCTTCAAAAAACTAAGAAAAATTACCCAAGTTATAATATTCTGATAATTCTGTGACTCGGATCATAATGTGTTTTTTGCTCTCATACTTTCCAGTTGTTAAAACCCATTTCATTAACTTGTGGGATCAAATCAAGAAGAGTTCAGCTGTTGTAAAATTCACACTTGGGCACTAGCTGCGTCTTCCATTCTCCCTTTCCTGCTGAGAAGTTCCTCAAATACTGAGGGGAATTGCTCCTGGACCCTTAAGCCCATCATCGGACTCCTTAATTTCTATGGGGAGGTAGTAGTTCTTTCCTTTCAGCCACAGGTTGGCTGGTGATGAAAGGAAAAAAGCAGCCATCTGCAGAAGACAAAGAATTTCCAGAGGATGCAAACTAAACGTCTCATGAAAAGGAGCCGTTGGATTGTTAGATGTGGTTCGTAGTGCTAGAAATAAAAGGCAAACTCTGCGGTACTGGAACTCTTCCACACCTGGGCTTCACCTTTTCTCCCAGTAGAAGGAGTCCTGCACATATCACAGCTCCTTGAGGGTGCCGCTCTACGCCTGTGGCTTTGGCCATTTCCTCACAAATAACATCCAGCGTCTTCTAATTCCATTCGTCTGTTGTTCTGCCAATATAACCATAATAAGGACAAATTTTACATTATGATGCTACTCAGAAAATGATCCCAGTGTCAGATTGGCATGTTAACATACTTTTGTTTCTGGTTTAAAGACTCTTTTCTAAACACATCCTCTATTATTCTTTAGCTGAGAAAAATAGTTATCCACATTTCCCTGACACTACTTTAATACCTTCTTCAATCTGTTATTTCGTTGATTAAATGCTATACAGATCATGTAGGAAAATTTCTTTTAATTAGTTTAGCAAGCAGTTTTAGAAATGACCCAGATAGCCTGTTGAAAGGGATATGTAATTGGCTAAGAAGAGTTGAGTAAGGTACACGAAGACTTTTGTCACATCACTGCAATGATTAAAGCAATCTGAAAGTTTTGATTCCCCAACGCAACCACCATCACAAAGCAAAACGAAGCAAATCAAACTCTAAAGCAGACACTGCACAAATTAATTTGAGAAAGGGAATGGAAGCCCTTTATCTGAGTGTTTTTCTGCTTGTCAAGATCTGTATTCTCAAGCCTTCGTTTCATAAGCACTTTATTTTCCACAAATGCTATTAAAAGCAGAAGTTGGGACTACAGACATTGTAATGCAAGTTATTGGTGAGACAATACATTTTGTAAAACATGTAATCCTCCATTACACCTCAAATCCTACACCTCAAAATATCCCGGGTGATTTTATATAATGGGGGGAATTTAACGGTTTCCAGTACAATCTGCCGAGGGCTCTCTTAGCCCTAAAGCCAATTAAAGGTTCTGGATACCATCTCGCAGTGCTTGTACGAGGTACTCTTTTATTCAGGCTTTTGGGGAATCCACCCAAGAACTGCCAGATAACTGGTGCTAAGATGGCATTTGAGAAGGTGCTTTGGAATTAACAGATCTCAGAGCAAATACTGCTCTAACCAATGCCCTGCTCAGGACCGGTGGGCTTCATGTGGGGAGAGACCATCCCACAAACTGATTCTAATTTCTGCCCACAGTATCTCTCTATCCAATATTCAGGTATTTGCCACGGTTTGTAACCATCTCCCAGTTGGCAATCTGAATGGAGGAAAGATCCTGATTGTGGGAAGGAGCTGTAGAAACACACCTCACATCTCTTCTCTCACAGGTGTTGTGTAGGTCTGTGGGTGGATATTCTGCACACTGACCTTTAGAGGGAGGTTGGCAGAGCATGGGGGAAAATACGTACAGTATATGGTAGACTCATTGCGCAAGGATGTTAGAAAGGCCAGGATTTCTCAAACATTTAATAAGGGTTGACAGAATCTCAGGCAACATTTAGTTTTCAC